TGCCTGAGAAGAGTGTGGAAGAGTAGGTCCTCAGCATCCAAGAGGGCCACCCAGCCCTGCACCTCAGGACTGACATTTCCGGGGGGGGGGACCAGGCTGTGTCACAGCCGCTCTGCACTGCTTCCACAACATGGGTCTTTCTATTCCCTCTTTGCTTTCAGGCTGGTACTACCCTTGTCCTGCCTGGTCGGACACAGCCCAGGGTGGGCTCTGGGGCCTCCTGAGGGATGACTCCATGGTTGTTTGCCAGACTGCAGAGAACAAATGGCTGAGGTGACCGCAGGACCACAGTTCACATGGGTTTTGGTGGGGAAGACCTGCCTCTTCTGCAGCGTGAGCAAACAGCCTTCAGGCACGGGCTTTTTTTGTGTAAAGACATGAGGTACCACCATGTGAAAACAGTCAGCTTGCTGCAGGAACGATATAGGAAATTTTACTCCCACAAAGAGGGGTTGAGCTGAAGTTTCCCTCACTGCGGGTGACCTCAGCCAGGCCTGCTAATTCCTCTGCATGGCCAGTCCTCTCTATCCCCTTGTCCCATTAAAATGTACCTACACTTTGATAGTGACAACAGCTTTCTGGTCCCTGGCTGTTATTGATTGAATTCAGATCATTGCAAACTCTAAGTTTTAATAACAGCAGCAATTCTCTGAGGCCATATGAAAAATGCAGAGAGAAAAAGAAGGAAGAAAACAAAGCTGGCAGTCACTCAGCTGCTCTGGCTCTGCAGCTTCCTATACCCTCCGGCCCCATCTAATTACCCTTTTCCTTGTCTTGTCTTTGAGGAACGGTTTGATTAGCGTGTACAAGGCATGGATGTACCAGGGCTGGTTGACAAAATGGACTCCTCCAAAACGGGCAGGAAAGCTGTCCTACAGAGAGAAAGAAGAGGAAGGCAGTTAATGGATGCAGTGTTTCAGTCCAGTAGTCAATAGGATGCAAGTCAGAGGAAGAAGTCTGCCACTTCCCATCTGCAAATGAGCACTGGGCTTGCTGGGAGGGGGCAGGAGGGAGATGGAAAATGAAAGACGCCTGGAAACGTTTGCATCAGTTTTCTCTGTCAGCAGACGCAGCCCCCTCCACACACTAATGCCTTGATGGCCGATGATTTAAAGCAGGGTCTCCAGCCACTTTGCCTGAACACTTTTTAACTCCATCAAGGCATCTGCCTTGGCCAGGCTGGGAAGCGAGAGCGGGTTGATGAGCACCGCTCCTGTGAGGTTCCAATTTCTCATTGTGCAGCGGAAAGCGAGCCCCCCGTTCCCACGCACGTTGCTGCTCACAGCTCACCTCTTCACCCTCCGGCCCCCCGCCTCCCCCCTGCTAAAATCATCATCACAATGGCTGACCTTTCGGGGTGAGCAAGCAGCATACGACGGGGAGGAGGATGGGTGGGAAATGCTGATAAGTGAAGGTGTAAGGAGAGCGCACCATGAAGGCTCCATGGAAACTGCTGGAGCCCAGCGCTGGCTGCCAGGCTGTGCACAAACCCCCTCAACATTAGCATGCAGGTAGTGTCCCACTGGGGAGGTGTTTGCAACAGCCTCCTGCTCCGCTCAGCCAGCGTGGCACGCTTCAGAAAGGAGGAGGTTGCTGGCATGTCTTTAAAGGTTGTTGTATATTGTGATGGGTATTTTGTGCCTACGCTCTCATCTAACAAATGTCAGTCAGTCAGGGAAGAGCCTTGGATTTTTTCATGTTGCATAAATAGTGGGACGACCGCTGCTCCTGCGTGCAAATGTGCTTCCAGTGAGAGGAGAGTGCCTGTCTCTCCCCCGTGAAGGGAGACGCTGATGAAACTGTCCTCATCCCTTGTGTGCTCCTAACCCCCGTGGCTCAGCGTGGAAAGACAGAGCATAATCAGGTCTCTTCCTCCAGGGCTTCGGCTTTGGGACTCAAGCAGGTTCACTCCCCCCACAATTAGCGCGGGGTATCCTGGGGGTTTCTCTCACCTTCCTCTGGAGCATCGGAGACCGAGCACAGCTGGTGAGGATGTGGGGTGGATTTGTGAGGTGAGATGGAAAATCCTCTGTACACCTGCTCGGTATAGCTTCTGTGCTGCTTCAAGGTCAAATTTTCCCCCAGATTTAGCACTACGTAGGCATCTCACCACCTCCTACCACCCAGGGCAGATTGGCAGGGCTCTCTATGCTCTTTAGCACTGGCCATGGATTGCCCGGGCAGTCACCTTAAATCATATTTGGGTAGTGTTTGTGAGCGGCCACAGGCGCCAAGCTGCTCAAGCCTAAGACATGGCAGTTGACCTGAAATCATTACAAATCTCAATATTGGAGCTCTGTGCAAGACTAGTGGGTAGTCAGGCCAGCACGCAGGAGGCCGAGCAGTGTCACATAACAGGTGATCCCATTGCAAATCCCAATAAACTATGAGCTGAGCTTTTTAAGGACAGCACATGCTCTGCTGCGGTGTTCATTTGTTCACGAAGAAGAGGACTGTATTTCCGTTGCTGCTGCCATATCCATTGGAGTTCAGGGACGCAGCTCTGACTTGAGCTACTGCAGTGCTGCAGGTTGCAGTGGCTTCAGCTGGGCTGTGCTGAGAAACAGCTGCAGAGAGTCTGAGCCCCTCGAGAAGAAAACAGCGGCCAACAGAAGTGTGAAGTGAAGCCCAAAGTGATGTTCTACCCTGGGATAACCTAAAATTGGGGTTTAGAGCAGACCAGACACAAAAATCCCCATGTCATGCAAAAGTCACATATTCAGTTGCTTTCCTCCTACTGGGAATGAAAATTTGAAGATTTGAAACTTTTCATAGAATAGTCTAAAAAAAAAATTAATATTGGAATGTTCAATATTTGCCTTTTATTTTTTTTTTTTTAATTCTATATTTGTGAAGCTGACTGCTATCCCACAAGCTGTGACTCTAAGGGAGAAATTCTGGACTCCTTTGCTTTTTGGGTCTGAGCTGCCACAGCTGTCCCAGGCTGTACCACGGCAGCATAGGTCAGTGTAGGAGATACAGCCTGAGTCCAAAGCAAACGACAGTAAAAGAATGAGAGATAGGAAGCAGGGGAATAACTGCAAGACACAGAGATTTATACTGACCCAAAAAAGAAAAATTGTTTGGCCTTCTCACTGGAATGCACAGCTGATATTAATCACAACCTTCAGTGAGAAACATCAGTCAGGCTTAATTTCCAAGGGGGAACATGGTTTTTTCAGAACATGTTGACCAGCCTTAATGATACCACATTACCCAGAAAGGTCTGAATGCTGAGAATTACAGGACCAGCCAGAAGTTTAAATTGGCAGGCTGCCTCTTGAAAAGGTCGACTGAGGAGAAAGATGTACTTTCCTATGTAGAAAATTAATTTTATGTCCACCCGAGATAGCTTACTGAGTCCATAAACTGGATTCTGGCTGGTACATTTGTAGATTGTTACAGGAAAGCCCCTATAGAACAGTTTTCTTTGAAGGCAATTGCTGCCTTTTCATTCTGAAGGTACACCCAAAAATGCACATAGACTCCTGAAAAGGCAACACGATGGCCAGGAAAAAAACAACCACCAAAGATCATCATTTTGTGTGTAACTTTCTGTTAATTTTTGCTCCTTGCCCTGTTAAGCACAATAAGCTCCATCTGACCTTCATCCCTCAGTCCACCTGCATTCGTAAGCCTGTCAATTAGAACAAGGACAAAGACTTTTTTTTTTTTTAAACCGAAGAAATTTGATGTGGGAATCATCCAGACACTGTTTGGAACCGCAACATACCAATTTTGCAGAAGTCCCTAATTAGAGCAGAGCTGCCTTGGAAAGAAAATCTCCCGTCTGGAGGTCTGCCTTGCACAGCGCCAGAAGATGTATGAGACGATTCCCTCACCCCGCTTAGTGTCTCTGCTGCTTTCCCTGGGGCAAGGTGAAAGTAGCTGAAATTGATTTTCTGCTGGAGAGCTTTTGCTTTTAGGAATTCTCTTTTGATTCCTCATGTCTTGTGATTCCTTGGGAAGGTGTGTTTTATAATGAGGTATGTTTTTGGAGCCTACTGTGAAAAGGACCCTGGGATCATAGAGCCTTTTCTTAACCTGATTCCTTGTTAAAAATACCCAATCCTGAGGACGTATTTACATTTTATTGGCATAAATGGCATGAACAAAATATAGCATGCAGGAATTGGTCTAGTTTGTGGGCACTGCAGTCATTTTATCTGAAAACCAGGCTGGACATGTTGCTTGGAGATGAAGTCACAGAGATGAATCGGTCCATCCAACCCAGTGCTAATCTAGCTAACTGGCTACTCAGAAATTGCAGGGAAGGAACAGTGCAAGGACTCCAGACACCTGGTTGGGCAGCTAGCTCCCTCCAGAGTCAGACCAGGTCTTCTTCACTGGGACCTGAGCTGACCTAAACCAAGGGATGTATCTAACCACGCTGCAGCAGCACCATCTCAAAGCAGTGTGGGCAAACCTAGAGAGAGACAATTGTCCAGCCACGGGGTTTTAGTTGTTGCTGTTGATTGAATGAAACTGGTGCCATAGACAGGAGTTTTCTTTTGCCTAATTTGCCTTTTTTACTCTCTGTATTTGTTTCTTTACTGTTTTCAGTTATTCCTCTCTGCATCATCCCCAAAGAAGAGAAAGAAATGAACTCAAGTCCACAGAAGAGCTGCCACACAGGCCTCAATCCATCTTTCGTTTCAGACTGCAGAAGTGTCTCCACGTTTGCAGATCAGAGGAAAATGTTACGTACATCATGGTTTCCCTTCTCCACTCGGACCTCCTGTGCAGGGAAATCTCTGAACTGAAATGAGCCTGGGACTGAAAACCCTTGGTACATGATGTTCCGCTGAATGGCTCGGAAGCAATCGCTACGAGGTGAATGAGAGACAATTTTTCACTATTTCTGCCTGTTCTTGCCTTCACCACATCTATTCCTTTTGGCATGAGTATGCATCAGAAACCTTTTACTGTGGTGTTGTTCTGAACTGCCTGAAAGCTAAAAATCAAGATGATCTTCCAGCATCTCCTCACGCCAAAGTGTCAAAAGCAAAACAATCTTTTGAATACCAGAATTAGGAATAAATCCAACCTGATGCTCAGGGCCAATCTTTTTGATCTACGTGAATTTGCTTCATAGACCAATGACCTGAGCTCAGACCCCAAATTTGAGCATATTTCTTGGTTACAGGACATCTGAATTTTGTGACACAAACATTTTTTAAAATGCTTTCATATCTTCTACCCTTTGCAATTGGAAAAGCAAACACACATTTTGCCGTCCAAATGCACTTTAATCTCATCCATACCTGCCAGTTTATTGCAAATCAAAATATAATCCCCTTTGAAAGAAAATAATTTCCCTTAGATTCAGGAAGATGTCAATCACAAACAAAACTGTTTAAACTGAAAGATCAGTTAAACTGGGGATAAAAACAGCATCTTCATGCCTGTGCACTTACATAATCAGTCCCTGTGGTAGATTAAAGCTTCCACAGACTGTATTAGTAGTTCAGGAAGATTTTATTAATAGTTCAGTGATAGTTTCTCCATGGAGAGTTTCCTGAGTGTATGATTTTAATGGATTGGCACCATAAGGGAAGAAGGCTTTGTGCTCTCCAGCTCTCAGTCCAAATTCAGCCTCTGAAGCAGCGGCAGTGGTTGAAAGCTGTTGTCCCCCAATTTTACAGCTCTGTCAGATATTGGATAGGTTGTGCCTGAGTGCTGCATGATGCCCTTGGTGCGGACAGAGCAGGCTGCCTTATAGTCCTTGCCAGGAGAGAAGGTAAAGTGTCCCTCCCACTGCTACAACTTCAGCTTCTAATTTCAGTGCAGCCCCTAAGAGGTGAAGGCTTAGTTTGGAAAATCCCATGGGCAGGAGGCAGTGGTGGGGCAGGGGACCATGGGGACCCGGGAT